GGCATGTGGGATCCTCCCAGACCGGGGCACGAACCCGTTTCTCCTGCATCGGCAGGCGGACTCTCAACCACTGCGCCACCAGGGAAGCCCGAAGCCCCCCATTTTTAAAAAAAATATTTATTTATTTGGTTTCACTGGGTCTTAGTTGCAGCAGGCTGGCTCCTTAGTTGAGGCATTAGAACTCTTAGTTGCGGCATGCATGTGGGATCTAGTTCCCCGACCAGGGATGGAACTCGGGCCCCTTGCATTGGGAGCGCAGAGTCTTAAATACTGCACCACCAAGGAAGTCCCCCGGACATATTTTTTCTTTTGTTTATCTGTTTATCTAGTGTCTTTCCCACCAGAATGTCAGCAACACCAGGGCAGAGGTTTGCTCATTGCTGTGTCTTCAGTGCCCAGTACAATGCCTGGCATACAGTAGGTACTCAATGAACTCATGTTGCATGAATGCAGAGGAGGAGGTTGGGTAGCAGGTGAAGGTTATTTCATCCATCCTCCCACCCCAAATACTGGAATCTGGGCCTCCCCCACAGCCCTGGACACAGTGCTTGGTGAATAATAAGAACCCCCATACAGGTGTTTATTAGATCATAGAGATTTCAGATCTCTCTTAACTCTAAGTTAATTTTAGTTTAGGATAAATCAGCTCGGGTGACCCCTGTTCATCCTCAGAGTCAGTTTGCTGCTTTATTGGGCTGCCCTGAGACCCTCCCTCCACAGTGGCTCCCCTGGCCTTTAAACTCTAGGTGGGGAGGGCTATTTCCACTAGCTGGGGGTGGATCCTTCTTGCCAATAACCTTCACGACCAGAAGGAGCTGCTTCTTAACAACCATCATGGGACACAGAGTGTCTAGCTTCAAACCCAGCCTCCCCTACTCTAGCTGTGTGTCCTTGGGCAAGCTGCCTGACCACTCTGAGCCTCAGTTTCCTCCCCGACGAGTAAGCGAACTCATTCAAGTAAAAAGTCAGGCATGAGGCAGGTACTACTACTATACCTTTACTAGCTAAGATTTGTGGATAGGGAAAGGAAAGGAGCTGGGGAGGAGGCGGGGTGGGGGGGCAGTGCTCAGGGAGGACAGGAGCTCAGCCAGGGGGAAAGGGGTTCAAAGAGGAGGAGCTGGCGGCCTTTTCAGGAGACCAGGGCTCCAGGGAGAGATAGGGGTGAGGGTCAGGGAAGTGGAACTCAGCCCTGCAGACTGCAGTTCACTGAGGGTGGCAGGCTCCTCAGGCCCTAGGGGATGCAAACCCCCTCCCATTCTTTTTTCCGGCAGGCTCCAGCCCCTGGCAGAGTTCTGCAGCCCTGCCTTTGCTCAATGACTGAACGACTGGGAGGCGATCAGACAGGCAGCTTCTGTGTCTCTTTAATATCCTCCAGGCCCATCCAACTACCCCACCCACCCACTCCCACTCCCACCGCCTTTAATGGGAGGGGGGGCCGGGGGCACCCTCCCCCAGCCCAAGAACTAAGGCACCAGGTAGCTGCAGCAGGCCGGCCCAGACACAGAGCCACACACACAGATGGAGGACACACTGACCGCGGACGCAGACAAGCAAGGCGCGAAGAGGGGCAGGGGCGGGGATCAGGCCGCCGCGGGGCTCCCACAGGCTCTGGGCCCGTCCTGAAGGCCGTGGGAGGCGCAGACAATCCCCGAAGGGGACTGGTCGAGAGGCCGAGGGGCGCCACGGCGGGGCAGGATCCTCACTTGCTGCCTTTGCGGGACAGACACCGCGGGAGGCAAGAGAAAGTCTGCTTGACGCGCGCCAGCAGCGGCAGCGGCCGGTGGGCTTCCCGGGGCGACCGCGGCACCAGGCGCTGCAAGGTCCCCTCCGAGGCCGAGGAGCTGGGCGCGGGGGAAGAGGCCGCGCTCGCAGAGCCCTGCCGGCAGCGCGCGCACATCGGCAGTAGCGCGCGCACCTCCTCCTCGTCGCGGAAAGGGCTCTCCCCGAAGCGCTCCTCCAGCTGCCGGCGAAGCTGGGGTGGGGTGGAGTCGAGGTCGGTGCCGGGCCGCCGGCTCGGTCCCCTCCCCAGTCCTCAGAGCTTCCGCTCTTCTTCGAGCTTCCCACACCTCGCTAAGCCCCTCCCGTGCTGACCATCCTCTTAGCTTCCCTTCTGCGTCCCCATCCCCCTAACTGAGCCCCTCTCCCTCCGAATCCCTCCTCTCTCCCTGAATCCCCTTCCCCTTTGACACTCCATCTTCCAGACCTACTAAAGTGACCCC